ATTTGTTGTATTATTTTAGAACATTTTGAAACGAAATAATCAATCAAAAAAAGTTTAAAAGTATATTACCTTCATTGTGAAGTACGTATTGACATTGTCCTACTATATACATAATGCAATAGGATTTGGATTCTGAGTGCTCGAAATCCTCTCATCTAGTGAGTGTGTTCACATTGAACGATAAGATTTCATCAATGTATGGAAATTTATGCTTGACCAGAAGTAAATAACACTGAGTTAAGTAGTGATTTATGAGGATACATTTCAAGCATTTTTCTGCGTCCATATCAGTCGTTAGATTAACGTATAGGACAATATAACAAAAGGTAGATATGTTATTTAGTGTTCTTTCTATATATAATGATACAGAAACCCCCGATGAAGCTTGTCCAAGGAACCTCCTTTGAGATCAGATCGTGCAATATTTCAAGAAAACAACAAAGACAAGGGTGGAACACAAATTAAAAGATATAGATAGATGTTGGTTAGAGGAATTAGACCCCAAGAGATCCTGTCTCTTGAACCCTAGCTCTGGAACGCCACAAACGATAACCACTCCTCTGATAATTCACACATTCTCTCAAGACTCAAAGAAGAGCAAGAAAAGACACAATACTGTGAAAAATGAAATTCGTTCAATTCTGCAAATTCCAAGATAAAAATGTGCTTAAATAGGCAAATGGGAGGGCAAAAGAAAACCCTAAACATAATACATACCATGAGTGGCACCATTTTACATTGAAGAGGCCATTAAAGGCTGATTTCCCGTCAAGGTTGGCACCTCCTTATGCTTCCCAAAAAGGATTTTCAGCACTTGTTTCATGAGATAAAGTATTAAAATCCTAATTTGACAATAAATAATTTTCTCAACTTATCCAAAGATTTTGACCATCATAATGGCCTTATTTAATGATAAAAAAAGATTAAAAGTATCCCTAAAAATTCTCCTTAAGAAAACGTCACTTTGATTCCCATGTGCATGTGACATTTAAGTGAGCTCTTCAAGTTCAACTCTGCTTGGCCCATGATCTTCTTCTAGTACTTGGCCCACCATGAATAGCACGACCCCTATGTCATTTTGGACTTCCAATTCGGCAACATGTAATGGTTCCAACTCAAGCATGCTTTGGATTACTCCTTTCAAGGCTTCCTTCATAATTTTAGCTCTAGCTTTTGTTATTGGTCAACCTATGCCTTATAATGGATCCTTTTGCATCCTATGATTTTGTGAATTAATGTCCTTGCTTGTCTTCTTTCACAACCGTTTGATTGAATTAATGATCTCTATAGTGCCACGTGGGACACTCACCAAATCCGGATCCCATCTGGCATGGGTATGTTAATTTTTTAAAAGCATTCATCCTATATATAATACTACTGTTTCTTGACAAAAAAAGAATTCATTCTTTTATGAAAAAATTTTTTTATTGGACATACGAGAAAAATCTTCAGAAAAAATAAAATTAATAATTTTTATGAAGGAGAAAGTACACCTTTTATTAATGTGTTTAAATTGTGAACAGTTTGGAAAGATTGAATTTAAGAACAGCACCAGGAAAAGCCAAGATCGTTGGAACAATAATGGGAATAATTGGGGCTATGATTATAACATTCTTCAAAGGCATAGAAATACACACAGGTTCCTTCCACATCGCTCTCTTGCATCACCATAACGGACATGTGGTATCACCACAAACTTCTCTAGTGGTAACGCCCTCTTGGGTGCTCTTTATGCACTGGGAAGCTGCTTCACCTCTGCTTTGTCGTCCATCGTTCAAGGTTTAACTTGAGGCCAACGGTGAATATTAATGCATTAAAAAAAGGCTAAACCGGTTTTGTTTGATATATTACAAATTTAAAAAATTAACATTATTTTCCAATTTAAGTAATTTAGGGTCGATTTTGCTCATTAACCCTTTTTAACATAAGGTAAATAACATAAAAATTATTTTTTTAATTTGTTTTATTTAAAAAAATGAGAATAATTTTTTTAAAACACCTGAATACAAACACATCTTCAATATAGTTTTAAAATTTTTTAAATTAAAAAACATAGAAAACAAATCAGTCCTAAAAACTTGGGAATATATATTATATTATATAATAACTAGATTTTACACCCACAAGAGACCCAGAAAGAGATGGTGCTATATTTTATTTTTAAAAAAATTTAAATTAAAATTAATTATATATTTTGTATTTTTTTCAGTGACTGCAATTAACTATTGTATTCATATTACGACATTAAAAAGTTTTTATTTTTCGTTATTAAAAGACATGAATAAAAAAATTATTGAAAAATTATAAACAATTTTTTAAGTTAGTTAGAGTTGTCACTCCGTTATACTCAAATGTATATAATAATTTATTTTAGTCTATATGTATTAGACCCATACAGATTAAAATTTAATATATATATATATATATATATATATATTTGTGTGCATAGTTTTAGAGTTCCTTCTTTTCCATTATATAAACCAATTTGTTTTACTTTAAAATCTTGTTATTTATTACATATTTAACTACCAATAATACATTTTATCTTGACACGACTTATTTTATAATATACCCTTATATGGTATAAATGATTAAAAACTTTCATCAGAGCAATTAGTTGGAGGTAAATTCCATCATTGTATAGATAGAAAGGTTACCATTATCTCTCCAAATCAAACAAAAATTTGATACCTAATTCCTAAACACCTTGAATAAAAAAAATATGTTAACATAATATCATAAATTTAACAATATTAATTTTTAAAAATACATTTTTAATTTTAAAAAGTTAAATATAAAATATAATTTAAAATTTAATTTTGATTTAATTTTTACAAAAATTAAATTTTCAAGACAGGTTTGATTTATAATGAAATTCAAAAATAGTTGCATCGGATGCGAATATAATTTCGGGAATGGTTTTTAGAAAATAAAAAAAAATTTATTTGATTATATTAATTTAAAAATAATTTAAGTATTAAAAAAATAAGCTGATAGTAGTAGCTGCAAGAGAATAATGACAATAGGGTAATGATGAGTCAATTGAAATAAGTTTTTTATAATTAAATATAATGTATTTTAAAAATAAAAAGAAATGAAAATACTTTTGAATATTTTTTATAAAACAAAATAAACAGTTTAAAAAAATAAATAAATAAAAAATGCTTTTTTAAATATTTTGTATTTTTAAAAATATAAAACAGTTTTTTAAAATATATTTAATTTTTTTGGTCAGGGAATTTGATTTTTTAATTATGGAAAGAAAATTCATGTTAAAAAAAAAAAACAGTTTTTTCGACTTCTAATCGGTGCAATCCACATAAGCGCGCTGTCTCTCCATGCATCGGGTGTTTGATAGACCGTCGCGAGCAATATAACAAAGTTACACCAAAGGCCCCATAGCCATATATATGTCAAGGGTCCAGATTTATCTACTAACACCCACGTGTACGTCCTCAGCAAGCGGAGCCGTGACTCGCACTTAATTCAGGCTCATTCGATCTCTGCATCCCATAGCCGAGGAAAGATCAAGTGCTCCTCCCTCCTGTTGCCGCATCAAAATTCTGCGTCCATTTATTTGTGGAAGCTGTCTCCGTTCATCGCTGCTGCTGATTCGCGGGAACTTCATCGTTAACTGGCGTCAGAAAAACCCCGATCATATTTCGGGCGCCGCCGAGGGAAGCGATCTTGGAATTTTCATTTTGAGCTTCCAGTGCTGGTCGTAGTTGATTGCTCGCAATTACTGAGATTGAATATATTTGTTTTCGACGATTTTACACCCATTTGAGAAGTTTTGTTTGGTAAATTTAGATTTCTAAGCTAGTTGATGCCGTAGTATTCCGTTCAAATGGAAGAATTATTTAGTCCTAGTTTTTATAATTTGATCAATTTCGTCCTCTTGCTTGCTATTCTTTTTTTCGTCATTGACTTTGAACAATATGGTTATTTGGAGATTTTCAGAGTCCGTGTACACTACTTTGGGAACTGAGAGAAGTATCGCCGAGAGTCGACCAGAAGGTCACACTGGACGCGGAATACTTTTTCGCCTGCTAAAATATAACTAAATGGTAATTTACCCAGTTCTGCTTCTGTTCCTATTTTTGTTTTCCTCTACGTTTTTTTTCCCCTCTGTATCATGACAGTCTTCTCCTATAAGGAGCTTGCACATAACTGCACATTGGATTGTAATTTACAAACGTTACGTAGTGTTTCTGCTGTATGTTTCTTTGAGACTTTTGAATCAAAGATCATTATTCTTCTTTCGAGGGAGTATGGGATGGGCTATGAAATCTAAAAATCGATACAGAACATAATCTGATATTAACACCGTCTCTGACACGGGGCTGTGAGGCAATTAGCTTCTAATGCTTTTTATTTTTATTTTTCCTGGAAGGCAGTTTCTGGAGTGCTGTGAAGTGCACTTAAATACTAGATAATATACAGCATATATATTTACAGGAGCATTAACACAACTCTAATATAACACTAATAGTTCGAAATTGAAAATCAGGCACATTAAATTGAACCTTTGTTTGTTTAGAAGCATAGATTTAGAAATGCTATGGCTTGTGCAGTGGTGAAGTTCCATCAGGCACATTAAATTGAACCTTTGTTTGTTTAGAAGCATAGATTTAGGTTTTATACTTCTTATATGTGCCAGTAAGTCTTGCGCCCCTTCTAACGTGAAGCAAATTTGAGTTTTATTTGCTGCAGTCTCTCCAAAACAAGGGATTTTGGATGGTAAAGGGTGACGAAAAGGAAGCATTTGATCATCCTTCCAAAATTGAACCAAAGCGATCTCGTCACTGGTTTGTTCATTCTGCTGAAATAGATTCTTTACCAAGCAAGAAACAATCTACGGAAGACACTAATGGAAAAAGGATTGTCAAATGCCTTTACATCTTGGGAGAGCAATTCTTCTTTTCATCCCGTTCCAATCCAATTTATTGGCCGATCTTTTGGATCTGAAACTAGGTCTGTCAATTTCAGTGAAAAGAAAAACTTTTGTTGTGGCTGATGATTTCAATGCACGAACAAAAATGATTTATGGGGAAGATGCCTCCTTTGACTTGTCTATATCTCACTCTGTTCAAGATTCTGGTACATGTCTAGGTTTCAGTGGAATTAAAAAAGTGAAAGTTGATGGTGTTAAAGATCGTGATAACGCACAGGCTTCAGAGGGGCTTAATATAGCGGACAGAATGTCGGCAATCTTCATCAGGCTTATAACAGAGAACCTGAGGCAAGATCTGTGTCAATGGGGCAAGCCTTTGATATGGAGGGTAGTGTCACATTAATGGGACTCACTTGCAATAGAGAGGAAGCACGTGTTAGATCATTAGATTGCCCTCCTTGCAGAGTAGAGGAGAATGCCATATCTATTAGTGATTCCTCTAATAAAGATGACTCAAATGTAATTTCTTTTCGTGGGTTCCAAGATGAAGAGGATGTCATCCCTGTGAATAGGCCAGCTGGAGACTATAATCCATTATATAATCAATCTTCAGTTGAAGTATCAATAGCAGCTGACAAAACAGAGATGGATGTTTCAAATTCAAATGCAGTTGTAAATTATTCTCAGGTGGCTAAACTTAAGCCCGAGTCTCTGTCCAAAAATAGACCAGAGTACAAAGTAACAAGGAAAGAAGCTTCAAATAGTTTCCCTTCTAACGTTAGAAACCTGATTTCTACTGGTATGCTAGATGGAGTTCCTGTAAAGTACATCTCAGTGGCACGGGAGGTAAATTCAGATCTTTCTCGTCTATTTGTTTCACTATGAAGTCCTGTATGATAAGTTGTGGTTACATTCTGTCATATATGAAGGAACTCCGTGGAGTTATTAAAGGTTTTGGCTATCTTTGTGGTTGTCAGTCATGTGATTATACCAAGGTTAGCCATCTACTGATTTAAAAACCTGACGAAAAAGTTTAATCATTGCAGTATTGATAATTCACAGGACTCAATAGGTGGTTTTTCATATTTTCAGGTTCTAAATGCTCATGAGTTTGAGACACATGCTGGTTGCAAAACAAAACACCCCAACAAGCACATTTACTTTGAGAACGGGAAGACCATTTATCAGATAGTTCAGGAATTGAAGAGTACCCCTGAAAGTTTGTTGGTTGATACAATTCAAACAGTTTTTGGTTCACAAATTAATCAGAAAGCATTTCAAAGTTGGAAAGGTAGTACATTCTTTCCTTGTTTCTTCTTTACACAATGAATATGTGCATTAAAGTGTTTTTTTGCCCGCTACGTCAATGATTCAATTCTCTTACTCCTGCCAACTCCTTGTAGAATCATTTCAAGCAGCAACCCGTGAGCTTCAGCGCATTTACGGAAAGGAAGTACTAAATATGTAAGCCACTAGCCTCTGGCAAAGTTATCGAGGTTAGAAGTTACAGTTATGGATAGTAAGACATGAATCTCTAACATTATCTTATTTCTGGCCTCCTGGAATCTGTGTAGTTTTGATGGCGAGATGCCTTTAGCTATATTTTGTACAAATTAATGAGATAGGTGATCATATATTTCAAATATTTCCTACCTCTTCTTCAATTTGATTTATTCTCTTTCCTTCAATATATATATATATATAAAGGAAGAATATAAGTAGATTTTATGGCAAAATTTTTTTTTATCCAATAATTAAGTGATAAGAGGAAAATATATTAAAAAAATAGGTTTGGAGAAGGGTCATGGAAAATTTTTGCTTCGTTGGAGGCATATCTGAAAATGAAACGTAAAATTCCCCAACTATTTTTGCTGGCGAGAGGGGGAATGGGGATGGCTTTGGTTGCTTCCGAAGTTGAGTAGATAAGCTTTGGTTGTCGAAGGGTTTCAAGGCGTTCTCTCAGAAGTTCGGCTCTCTGGAAGGGAAGTGAGGGATGTACATCGCGGCAAAATTTGTCGGGAGGGGGTATGATTCTCGTCTGTAGGGGCGGACCTTAGCTTCGGCCTTCTCTGCCATGCGTGGCTCATTTACATGTGAGAATAAAGCAACGGTTACGTGTGATGTGACGCGTTAATCGGTCGAATATCTATATAGATTTCCGCATATATAGATGGATAATGGATTCAAATCCTGGCATACATCTTTGTATTTAAAATTTTTGAAATTGAGATCAGGAAAGTTGGACCTTTTAAAAGAGGAGAAGATTTTGTATTTTATGAAAAATAATTAAATAACAAAAAATACTAATAAAAAAAACTCTACATAAATTCATATATCTTAATTTTAAAATTTATAAATCTGTGGCCTTGAGTTTCAAGGATACCGTGGAATATTCATGAAACCGCCCTTTGCTTTTTTATTTGTAGAGTGCGAAACAACGGGCACAAATGAGTGGTTTTTCGATACTTTAATTAACTGTTTCGAGCCCAAAAAAATTAATTGGTCATGGAAAATGCTAGCACCTTGCCGGTAGTAACATGCTTAATTACTTTCTCCGTTTCATTTTGACGTTCATTTTATGAATTTCTTTCTTTACATTTATTTGTCATTCCAAATTTTTAAGGAAATATGACTTATTATTTTCCATTCTTTTTTTTTCTTTCATTGGTTTTGAAAGTCCAAAGCAATACTAATTATTAAAATAAGTTAAGGATATATAAAGTTAAAATGCATAAAATGTCTCTTGAATCTTGAGGCAATTGCATGACCTTCCTCATTATTTAATATTTAAAATTAATCTTCTTAACCTTTCATTTCATTTTTCAAAATCCCCTACAATTAATTGACTATTATTTTATTAATCTAATTATTGTTATGTCATATTAATGCAATTTATATGACACATGACATGAAAAACTATTTTTATTATTTTTAACACAATTTAAGAAGGGATAAAATTATAATTTTATTTTTAACACGCATGACGATGCTCTCATTTTTTAGTCCAGTGATATTATTTTCATTGTTTACAAGTAATAAAATTTAAGAGAAAAATTATGATTTTATTATTTTTTATTAGCCTTTTATATTAAACAAATGAAAAAAATAACTAAAAGCTGTCATTAATAAGAGGCATATAAATAAAAATTTATGCTTTAATAGAAGAAAACTATGATATTTTGCAAATTGTTTTAACAAAATCAATACAAATCACCAATAGCAAGAAAATATTTTATTCTAAAGCAAAATATATTTTTAGTTTGAATAAGTACTGAAACTTTATTCAAATGAGAAAATAACAGCTACAAACAAATAAGAGTTAAAAGAAAATAAATGAAATAGGTAATGAAATTTATGACTTTTATCAATGATGGTTTTTACATATTTTTCTTTTCATTTGTTTAATATAAAAGGCTATTTAAATTTTTTAAAAAATAACATAAGTACTTCTCTAATCTTATTTATAAGACATTTCTAACATGTTTTACTATAATAAAAAAAATCTTAAACTCATTAACTTTGTCTAAAATTTAATAATTTCTCAATTTACCATTATTAAATATACATATTTTAACAATATATTTTTTCTCTAACATTTAATGGTAGTAAAATGAAAAATTTGTAATAAAAATTTAATGAGATGACTTATAAATAGGATTAAAAATTTTTTTTCTCTACCCCTATAAATAGGACTGAAAGGAGTATATTTTTTTCTTAAATTGTATTACCTTTGAATAATGAGAACAATATCACTAACTAAAAAAAATTGAGAGAATCTTCATGCATGTTAAAAATAAAGATTAAATTTTACACCTCCTTAAATTATGTTAAAAATAATAAAATATTCTTTATGTCATGTGCCATATATATTGTATTAATGTGACATGGTAATAAGTAATAACTATATTATAAAATAACAATTAATTAATGGTAGGGTTTTTTGAAAAATAAAATGAAAGGTTATAGTTATAGGGGTAATTTATAACTATCTTAAAATTCATGGAGGTTTTATGCATTTTAGTCAAAGAAAAAATGAAAAAAAGAATTTTAATATATCAATTATATTTCGCAACTTTTATTTTAAAACATTAATCGAATAGTATTTTTAAGTATTGCAATTTATTACATTAAAGTTATAAATCGTCACCATAAAGTTGTGGTTTCCAGCATTTTTTTCAACGATAAACGCAAGGTAACTCGGTAACATGCTTGTCTTTTCGCTAAAAGCACGCCACCCTAAACATACATTGAAATTCACAAATAGCCCCATTGTGGGAGATGTGGGTTTAATCCTTACTTTCAAGCTGTTTCAGCTTGCCTCTTTGTAATTAAAGACTGGACCCAATTGCTTTGCCCATGTTTACATAAAGG